TTTCCGGAGAGCAGCTGATGGGTTTGAACCACCAACCTTGAGGTTCAAACAGACCTTCTGTACTTCTTCTACAGTACCAACACCAGGACTCCTCATATTCTAATTTCAGATATAATTTGTAAAAACTAATCACAGGCCTTGTTTATATATTACCTCATGTACTACTAAAAAATTGAAATCTTTCAAGAAAGTGAGGTGGCACTGGAGGCACTCACTCATCTATACCAAGATATTTTGATGACAGCTATCTTGCCAACTAATTGGAAGAGATCCGTATTTGTGCCCATTCCAAAGTGAGGTGATCCAATGGAATGTGGAAATCATCGGACTATATCTTTTCTATCCCATGCCAGTAAATTATTATTAAAGGTAATACAAATATGTTTGCAAGCATATACTAACAGAGAACTTCCAGAGGATCAAGCCGGATTTAAAAGAGGACATAGAACAAGGGATATCATTGCTCATCTCTGATGGATCTTGATTGAAAGCAGAGAATACCAAAAAGATGTTTACCTGTACTTTATTGACTATGCAAAGGCTTTCAATTGTGCAGATCATTATAAGCTAAGAACTACATTGCAAAGTATGAGTATTCTGGAACACTTCATTGTGCTCATGAAAAATCTGTACATGGACCAAGAGGCAGTCGTTCGAACAGAATGTGGGAATACTGAATGGTTTAAAATTAAGAAAGGTGTGTGACAGGGATGTATTCTTTCGCCATACTTATTCAACCTGTGTGCTGAATAATCCGAGAAGATGGGTTATATGAAGAAAACTTGGCATCAAGATTGGAGGAAGACTCATTAACAACCTGCGATATGCAGATGATACAACCTTGCTTGCTGAAAGTTAAGAGAACTTAAAATATTTACTGATAAAGATAAAAGACCACAGCCTGCAGTATGGATTGCATCTCAATGTCAAGAAAACAAAAACCCTCACCACTGGACCAATAAACAACATTCTTATCAATGGAGAAAAGATTGAAGTTGCCAAGGACTTCATTCTTCTTGGATCAACTACCAACACTCATGGAAGCAGCAGTCAAGAAATCAAATGACGTATTATTACATTAGGCAAGTCTGTTGCACAAGACCTTTTT